CCTGCTCGCTCAGGAGCGGGCCCTGCCAGCAGACCCACAAACAGCCGTGCAGGCCTCACCGTGGGGAAGGGGAGCGGCTGGGTCCCAGCGAGGCGATGCCACCAGGCTCCCAGTTAGGCGGGTCTGTCTCCGGGGAGATTGGCTATCAGCGGGCCCAGAGCTCGTGGGCGCGGGGCAGGGGAGTGCGGGCTCAGATAAGCCCTGAGCCGATGCCCCAGACATAAGAGGTTAGCGCGTGCTCTGCCCGGGGAGGGGAAGGAAAACAGTCAGGGCCAGGCTCTCCTGGCCACTGCACACCTTGCACCGACAGAATCACCTCAAGCGTCTGCTCTGATTTCCTCCACTGCCTGCTGCGACCCTTTGCAGTCAGGATTCCCACCGGGTGGTCAGGAAGCTGAAGTAGGAAGCAAGCCCAGTGACCCCGATTTGCAGTCAGGTCTCAGAAGACAGCTCTGCTTGCAAAGCACTTCGGTCCAACGGAAATATAATTTCTTTCTCTGTCCAATAAAAATATAATTCAAGCCACATGAGCAGTTTGAGATTTTCAAGCAGCACTCAGCCATAAAGAAGGAGAAACTAGAGACATTTATAGATAAGTGGATGCACACTGAGGCTGTACTCTTAAGTGAAATAAATAGGACACACGTGTAAATAACAAATAGTTTCCCTGGTGTGAAAAACTAAAAGTGTAAATAAGGATCAAAATGTATAATTGATAATGTGAAATAGGAAGAAAAGGGTCAAAAGGGGTAGGGGAAGTGGGAGGGTAGGGGAAAAGAAAAAATATAAGGAAAGGAAAATAATGGAAACAAATTCTTTGTAAATAGGGAGGTGTGGAGCGGGTGAAGGGAGGGCAGGGAATGGGGAAAAAATGAGAACCAAAATGTGTCATGTAGAGGTACAAGATCCCAACGATGACTGTAACTGTGCTGTATCCCTAAAAAGTACCAATAAACTTAATGAGAAAAAAAGATTTTCAAGTAGGGACATGGTATAAAAAGAAACATGAAATTAATTTTAATAATATATTTTCTTTAGCCCAACATACTTTCAGAATTACTTCAGTGTGTGATCAGTGTGCCAGGTTACACGCGAGACACCACATGTGCCCTTTTCCATAGTAACCGCCTTCACTCCAGGGGGCGTCTGCACACTAGCTCACCTCGGCGGGGCTGCACGCAGCACAGTGGCCGCTGGCAGCCTGGGATCACGGACTGCACTGATGGGGTGGAGTAAGGGTAGGAGGAGAGAAGACTCGCGAAGCCTGAGGGAAAGGGGGCAGCACCAGGTGCCAGGCTGGTCATGCAGCAGAGACCAGAGGGAGCCTGGTTCTGTCCCCGTGAACGGGACCGCAGGGTCCTACGCTGGGCTGGGGTATGGGGAGGACCGAAGCCAGACAACTTGCCTGCTGTAAAACTCTGTGACCTTGAGAAGTCATGAGCCCTCCGGTTTACATCCCTGTAAGACAAGGTAATGGTGCCTGCCCCAGAGCGTCATCATTAGAATTGGATGTAGTAATGCGAAAGAGGTAAACGGGTTTGAATCTGTTTACATATTTTTGACCAAATGAGTTTTCTAAAGTTTATCAACATATCATTTGCATATGATTTCTTTCCTTCTGCTACCTGAAGTTAAAAAATAAACATGAAATCCAGTGTTATCTACGCACTGTAGGGATGGCCGTATAGGGGCGGTTAGGAGCATAGGATCGACCCCCAAGGGCCAAGGAGGTGCGGTGAGGACAGAAGGGCGAGGAGAGGAACCCGCAGCTTCAGAACAGGAAGTGGCTCACCTCCCGCTGTGGCCTGGACTTTGCTGCTGGGCACCTCGGCCAGACATTTATAGTTCCCTCCACTCAACCTGGCAGGAAGTGGCTCCTCCGCAGTTCTCTGTGGTCAGGGGATTCCGGAAACCCATCTCCCTGTGGACTCGCGGTGTGCTCTGCTCCCGCCGCAGGGATCAGAAAGCAACACAAGTGCAGGGCTGATCACCAGCCCTCACTGGGAAACGCGGGGTGCTCCAGATGCCCTGGAGTTTGGACCCACTAGGCTGATGGGTGGTAGTGCGAGAGGTGGGGCCGGTAGTGCCCTACACACGCCCAGCCTCCCTCACTCAGCCTTTTCTCCCTCTCTCTCCAAGACACGTTTAAAAGTGACTCCATTTCAGGGAAAGGAAATTAGTGTGGACCGAGACAGAGGCTGTTGTGATGCCCTCAGCCCCGCCCCTTCAGGTAGGCCGCGATGGGGCCACCTGTCGGCCTGCACAGGGCCCCGCAGGACACGGAGACTGCTGGCTGTGGACACACCTTCTGCCAGCTCTGCCTCCAGCCCCCCGCCCAGATGGGGACTCAGCCCTCGGGTAGGGCCCTGCTCTGCCAGGAGGAGGAGCAGACGGAGACCCCCATGGTCCCTGTGCCCCTGGGCTCCTCTCCTGTGAGGAGCATGTTGAGAACATCTACTTCCTCTGTGAGAAGGACTCCAAGTTCCTCTGCGTGCTGGGCTGGGAGGGCCCCTCCCACCAGGCCCACAGTGTGGGGCTCCAGGCCTGGGGCAGGATGGGGCCCTGCTGTGGGAGAGGATGGGGTGGGATCTGCTCCGAACCCTTCCCTTACCCCTGGGCTGAGTGTTCTCTTGGAGTTCCCGCTCCCTGTGAACACCTCAGCTACCTCACTTTCTTGTTACATGGCTGTCATGGGTGTCCAACTCCTGCCCTGGATAGTGATCTCCGTAGGGACAAGGACTGGGCGTTTGTCGCCTTTGAAATCCCTCAGCACTCAGTGGTGTAACCAGAACATGGCAGACAGTTAATACAAGTGAGTTGAATTATTACCCGAGCTCTGTCCTGCCCCTGTTCTCCTATAGGATCACCTCGGGAGTTGCCTAGAAGCTCTGAGACAGGAGAGGGACAAGATGGAAGGCATAAAGTGTCAAGAAGACCAGAAACTCCGAGAGTTGCTAGTAAAGGCCAAGCCACTGGCTCCCTCCTCCTCTGGGAACTTTCTTAACAGCCTGGGGAAGCCTGGTGTCCGGATGGAAAGAACTGGCCAACCTTTCACTCACTCTCCTGCCACCACACAAAGGCATTTTGGACCTCAGAACGTTGGGCATAGATCCTTTTAACCCATCTTTTACAGAGCAGAAAAGTGAGGTCCAGCAGAGATGCTCCTAAGGCTCCCGGCAAAGCCCAGCTCACGCTGCGGTTGCCAGAACCAGGGTCTCTCGAGCCTTAGTCCATTGCTCTTCTACCCCCAGCACAGCTGCCTGGCGATGTTACTTCAGATAGAAAACCAGGGGCAGGAAGAGCACCGTCACTGGCATCTGGACCCCAAGGCTGACCCTAAGGACTACAGGCTACGGCATGGCTCTGTCTGGCTCCTACCCTCCTCTCCTCTCATGCTACAAAGTCCACAGTGTGGGAATTCATGGTCGTGTGGCCACGGAGATGGGTGTGTCCCCTGTTCCCGCCAAAGCCCACCCTGCGGGTGGCAACCTCAGAGGCTAAAACCAGTGTCACACACTCTTCCGCCAGCCTGCGTTGATGCCAACAAATTCCTTTTGCCTTGACTGTTCTCTATGAAATTACCATCTTCATCTCCACCTAGGGCTCAAGAAAGTGTGGTTGGTATCATCAGTGTAGAAGGAAGTTTGAAGACTTCTGCATTCTGAGAGTACAGCGTGGTAATACAAGAATCTTTAGCTAAGACAATAAAGAAAATGAAGTGCTCTCATCACTGGTAAGTTTATCCCGAGAGCTATCTACTTCTTCCACAGTATTATTTGGAGGAGTGAGTCTGGGAACCATTTACTCCTGGTTCCACTTAATAAGTACACAGATGGCCTTCTGCAAGCCAGCGCTGGGAGCCCCTCCCTGACCACGTCCATCTCCCTGTCCCTGGCAAGCTCAGATTGAAAGCAAGAAACAATAGGTAGAAGCAGCTTTCGAGAGACTCCAGCAGGAGCTGGGGGACCAGCGGCACCTCCTGCTGGCCAGGCTGAGGAAGCTGGAGCGGCAGATCTGGAGGGAGAGGGAGGAGTACATCAGGAAGGCCTTGGAGGAAGTCGACTGGCTTGGAGCCCAGGTCAGGGAACTGGAGGGGAAGTTTCAGCAGCCAGCAAGTGAGCTTCTGCAAGAGACCCCACACACACATCCTGTGGGAAAGCAGAAGGGTCCGACATGGCGGCCCATCCTGCAGACGGGAAAATGCTGGCCAGAGGCGGGAGAGGGAAGCACAGGTCCTGTCTCATGGGAGGGATGGGTGGCGGTCTGACCCCTCTGGCCCAGAGGCAGGACACACACTGGGCATGTGAAGGGCTTTGGAGTCAGATAGTCGGGGGTTAGGTGTTGGCTTTTCCAATTATGTCACTCGGATGAGTGTCAGTCTCTATAAGCAACGGGGCTAACAGTAGCATCTTTCATAGGGTTGTTGGAAATAGATGAGAAACCAGCTTCATAAAATGCTCAGCCTGAGTCCCAACAAAAGAAGCACTCCATCAGTAGTACCAGTCGTGGTTAGCACGAGCCAGGGTCGCACAGGGTGCAGCTGCGAACTCAAGATTGGTCCCTGCTCTTCCCCACCCCAGGAAAATGCAGAGACAGAGAAATCAGTGCAAAGGAACTGGCTCCTGAGTCCATAGAGCAAGGAGACATAATGGGAAGGAACAGCTTAGATGAGTACACTGTTATGGGGATAACTCTGGGTGGGAGGAGAGTTTTGAGCCGATGTTTTAAAGGAAGAGAAGATGTACAGAATCCTTGATAGGAAGGACACGTGGCACTATGTGCCTGTTCTCTTTCTTTTGTAGGATGTCAGAGTCAATCAGAGCCTGTAGGGCCACTTCACCTCCGTTCTGATGGGTGGTCCAGGAAAGGCAAGCCCTTAGACACCCAGCCCCTCAAACACGCATGATCTAAACTCGCTGAAGATTCGTGTACTAAAGGCTTACATTTATTTATTTATTTATTGGTACCGGGGATTGAACTCGGGACCTTGTGCTTGCAAGGCAGGCAGCAGAACCACTGAGCTAAATCCCCGGCCCAACAGCTTACTTTTAAACTGATGGGTCGGTATTGGGGACACATATTTTTCTCCCAGAAGTGAAGTTATAATTAATAACCATGGTTTTAGGCAGATCCAGGGACATCTTTAATCCATGAAGTTGAGTCAGTACCTAACACCATTTGAAATGTAATTTGAGGAAATATTTTCAGTCGCTTATGACAAGCATGGAGGACGGGGAAGACCACCTGTTCAGCCCTCCTCCCACCCACAGAGTCTCTCCTGTCTCCTTCAGCGTCTCCTAGCCCTACCATACAGGACAGGCGCCGGGTGAGGGAGGCTTTGCACACACGAGCTCCTCTCCTTTGTTCTCTGCTGTACGCACAAGCAGTCGGTGCTGAGATGAGGCGACACGATGACAGGGCCCTTGCTGTACTCTCCGTGCCCACCCTTGGGGTGCAGGCAGGAAGTGTCTGCAAACATCTCAAGGGATGCTAGGGCTGAGATCGACAGGTGCTCGGAGAGCCTGATAACCGAAGTGCTCGTGCAAGGTCAAATGGCCAGTGACTAAGAGGACTGAGCCAGGTCCAGAACCTGGAGCTTTTCGCTGCAATATATGTTTTCTTCCATCTCCTACGTCTTCCCTCCTGGCCCATTTTCCTTCAAAAAGCTCACAAATTAGAAATGGAGTCCGGCTCTTCAGCGTGATGCTGCCCTGCCCTCCGGCGGCGCGCGAAGGCCCTGTGCTCCTTGGTGCGGAGGTGGAGGCGAGCCTCGCAGGACTGCGCTCCCGGACGGCAAGGGCGCCTTCAG